AGCCGTCGTCGTCGTCGTCGCGATCATTCGATTCCTCTGCATGCTGCCGCCACCGCTACCGCCACTGTCACCACCACCGTCGACGCCACCGCTGCCGCTTCTGTTTCTGCGTTTGCCGTTCTGCTGTCCTTGGTTTCGCTCTAGCAAAACTAACGCGCTAGTTCTGCTACGTCGACTCCGCGCCGTTTGGAGAAACTCGGTTGGCTCTCCTACCGCTCGCGCGCGCCCACGGCCAGGGCTGTATCGCTCGGGGCTGCGCCGTCCATTCTAATCTTACGACCTCCCTACTCTCCTCTCGGCGAACGTGTATCGAGAGAGATCTACGATCGATTTCGGTTATCTCTCGAAACAAGAGCGTACTATATAAATGACACCTATCGCGACTGTTTTTTTCTTAACCGATATACCTTATCTTATCAGAAATCACGGTTTTCCCTTAATTTACAACGTCCATACGCCTACGTACGAGCGAGTTAATGAAATTCGAACGATTAAAAGAAAGGGAAATCATCGTCCCCGTTTTTTTTTTACGACGCCGAAGACTATTTGTTAGGCTGGCGAATGCGCAATCTCATGAATAAACAGGGTGTCGACCGTAGTCCCTTGATCTTCGGCAGCCTTGAACCGTACGTTGGTTGATAGCCGCGACGTTCGGTCCGTGAAATGGCTGTGGAACGTCGTTCGCGGCTAGAACAGGGCCCCGGCTAGTATCTAGGGAACTTAGAAATCCAGTGGAAACTAAGGCGAGTAGAAGGGATACTATCGGAGGAGGTGGCAGCAATGGCGTCCCGAGCCGCGAGGAGTAGGCAGAGAGGAGACGGCTGGCTTCATATACCAGGGAAAAGAGGACGGCGGAGAGGGTCGAGGGAGGACGGAGAGACAGAGTCGAGGAGTACTACACGTGTCGCTGCAGCGGGGTGTTGACCCCAAATAGCTTTTTTAACGTGACGTAACTACGAAAGGGTTGAGAAACGGCTAGCAACGTCGTTCGACGGCCAACCGACTTCTTAACTAAAGCCAAGCCCTTGCCTTGCCTTTAAGCCTCGTGGCTCCCCGTTATATCTATGGCACAACGATCCTTTCATACTCGAAAAGCCACTTGCGCGGTTCTCTGCCCGCCACCACTATGACCACAATGTTATAATTAAGATCAGGGATGTGCTCTCGATTTCTGTATATCTCAATGTACACTTGGCAGCGAGCTGTCTCTAGCGTTATGTCGGACCGCTTTCGACAAATTCAAACGAAATAATATCGATGTAACTTACTCCTTTTCCTACTTTACTTATTATATTTTTTCAGTTTTATAAGTAACGCGGTGTACGTCGTTGTAGAAGAGTATTCGAATATTTCGTTACAAAATCTGTTATTTCGTTGGTGACCAAACATTCTTTTGAAACGAAAACTTTGTCAATCGCAGCATTTTCGGTATATACGTTGGTTGTGCAACGCGCGAACACGGAAATTTGACGACTGGTTACCCACTTATTTATGTTAAGACTGCCATATGTGAATTTGCATTACAATTTACATACACTTTACCTTCTTAACGTCGAAGGTGGAGCGTTGCTAATCACATGGTCAAGGGTGACGGGTTACGGTGTATTTTTAGCGTGGTTGTAACATATACCAATAACGTATCTCCGAATCAGAAACGATTGTAATTTGTAATAAAGCATGAAGTGGGGCGGACAGATACATAAATATTTATTGTTGGACCATACTGGGTGTTTTACTTCATAACAAAAATTAATAGCACGTCGCTTTTTTTCGATTTTGAGATGATAGGTGTGCATACTTAAAAATTTTTTAACTTCCGTACTTTAAATCGGGTGTACAAAATTGCAAGTATTCAAGCTTATAGATTAACAAATTTAATTTCCTAACTCAACTTCTCAAATTTTTGAGAATGTTCTCAAATGTGACTAAAGGCTAATGAAAAATGGTGGGTACCCTGCTCTCATTTTTCCTAAGAAAACCCCAAGATAATGTTAGTCGTGCACGGTTCAGATTGTAAGAAATAGAAATGGGTAATTTTTTGATAAGCCATCGAAGTCGATTTAAGAATCCAAATACCGAAAGGAGGTTAAGACGACACTTAACCCCCCGTCGCATATGGTTTCCAGTTGGAACGGTACTGGTATGTCGCAATACAGCCTTATGTGTATACTGTATGTACCTAATTAGGACTATTGAAGAGATGGAAAGACAGACGGAGATGTTGGATATAGGGCGTTCGTCGTTCGTTTTTGCTTCGTCGTTCAATAATGACATACGGTTTTCGAGGACGTTACCTTTTTCTTCGTACCTTTTTTTCTTTTTCCTTCTTGTTCGACAGAGTTTATACAGTTTGCGCGGCGAACAAAACTTCAGTGTGGAAACTCGATGCACGAAGGTGACGTGGAAAAACGACACGATAGGTACAGCAGAGAATGAAACCGTGTCTTTCTCTATCTCCTTCCTTAATATCACGTACACATACACACACGTGTATACGTAAATACATACATCCACAGTGTCGCGCTGCGACAGCAGTGACTATCTTATCAAGCCAGCTACACCCTAAGAGGCGTAAACGATATTTTTCCTATTTGCTCCGGAAAGTACAGTGGTTCCCCATGATGATTGACGAGCGGCCCTTCCATAAGGTCAACCTCGAGTTTTTAAGGTCAACGCAAATAGAAAGAGCGAGATATGCCGATGAGATTTCACCGAGTTCCTGGCAGAGCATGACTCGACTGGACGGTTGCCTGTTCAGAGTTCAAAGCAGATATCCTTATCCATCGTCGACCGCAAAGGATATTCCGAGAAACCACGGCCAGAAGGAAACGGTAGGCCGTTGTTCCTCTACCCGACGTTTTAGTCGTTCGCTTTATTCCGTTTTACTCGGATTCTCACGGAGAAACGTCCGATTAGTAAGCGGAATACTCAAACTGTAACTAATGAATAACGGTAAAGAACGTTGCCGGACTCTCGCGTCCAACCATCGTGATTTTCCTCCTCTTAAAACTGGCCGAGCAGGCGGTTTCGGGAAATTCATGCCGCACTAACAGGGGAAGAGGGTTAACGTTTCAAAGGGGAAAGTTAGAAAGGAATCGTAGAAGATTCCGTCGTTCGATAAAAAGAGTCAGTAACCGTGGAGGCGAGTAACGGCGTGCATACCTTACATATACGTTAGGAAGGGGATGACTCGAAGGGACATTGCTCCCTGGCCTCGCCTGCCCTGCTCTGCTCTGCTGTGTCCAGAAAGGATCCACCTATCGTCCTGCACTCTCACGGCCCTTACGGACCGTGACACCTTCGGTTCGGCTCCTTCCGGCGGCAGGTACCTTGCAAGAAACACTTCCTGTTCAATTGCCTCGGGAGCGACGCACAAAAACGGAAGGACCAAACCAGTGCCTCGCAACAACTCTTATATATCCGTCGATACCATCATTTACTCTCATCACTTGAATGGTAATTTTCAAACAACGAAAACAAACCTTACTGCATCGTAAACACATTTACTTTCTTCGTTCTTTGTATAGGTGCTTCGGGGGATATAGTGCGATCGTAAATCTACTACCTCAAAGCATCCATTCTACCATTTCAAAATTTCTAAATCCCAAGATCTTAAAATTTCGATGTTCCAAAGTACTACGAAACTCAAAGATCAA